AAAGAAAAGGAAAAAAAAAAGTGTGTTCAACTTTTTTTTTTTTTTTCTTACTTTGTTGTGGGTAGTTTTCCCCGTTTCCTTTTCTCGGAAATGGTTAAGGAAAGAAAAGTTGTCTCGGGCTTTAGAGTTAGATTTTTATATTAGGTTTTTAAGAGAGAAAAGGCGTATTCAGTTTCGCTTTTATAAAAGGGAGAACTTAACTGTGTGATTCTGCAGCGTCCAAATGATTCACATACATACGCACGCACGCGGACATACACACACACACACACACACACACACACACACACATATATACACACACACACACACACACACATATATATATAGAGATAGATAGATAAATAGATAGATATACATATATATATATACATATACATATATATATACATATATATATATATATATATATATATATATATATATATATATATATATATATGTGTGTGTGTGTGTGTGTGTGTGTGTGTGTGTGTGTGTGTGTGTGTGTGTGTGTGTGTATGTATGTATATATATATATATATATATATATATATATATATATATATATATATATATATATATATATATATATATACATATATATATATATATATATATATTTATACATATATATATATATATATATATATATATATATATATATATATATATATATATATATATATAGATATGTCTATATACATATGAGAAAAAATATATATATGTATGCATGAATATATCCAATAATACTAATATTAATTACGATTATGATGATAGTATCGAAGCTACCAAACAAAAATATTAATAAGTTACTGACACAGCTCTCATTCATAGCTGTAGTGGATGATCTGAACTAGAATTTAAAAGAAAGAAAGAATGAATGAACGAAAGAAAGAGAGAAAGGGTATTATAGAAACTAGAGACAAAAAGAAAAAGAAAAAATATATATATCAAAAAACAACAACACAGAAAAAGAACATAGAAAATAATGAAAACCTTGAGGCCAGAAACGCGAGGAAGAGCATAAAGAGATAAACCATAGAAATAATAAATAATAGATAGATAAATGATAATAAAAGGAGAATAGAATGAATAAATAGATAATGGTTAAGAAAATAAAGATGTTAGAAATGTAAAACGAAGAGGGAATAATGTGAACAAAGGCAGGAAAGAGAAATCTACAAGGAAAATAAGGTGAGAGGAAGAAAAGAAAAGAAAAGAAGAAAAAAAAGAGAGAGAATTTGTAGAAAAGAAGATAAGACAACAAAGATAGGAAGGTGAGAGGAAGAGAGAATGATAAAGAAAGAGTAATCGAAGAAAAGAAGATAGGAAAAGAGGAAAGTAAGAAGAGGGGAAGAGAAGGAAGGGAAAAAGGATGATAAGGACAAAGAAACAGAATAAGAGATGAGGGGAAGAGAAGGTGATAAAAAGAGAGGAAGAGAGGAACAGAAGAAGAGAAGAAAGGAAAAGAGGAAGAAAAGAAAAAGGTAAAAGAAGAAAGGACAATAAGTAAAGAGGAATAGAGGAAGAGAAGAAAAAGGTAAAAGAAGAAAGGACAATAAGTAAAGAGGAATAGAGGAAGAGAAGAGGATAAGGAGAGAGGAAGAGAGGATGAAGACAAGAAAGGAAGAGAGGATAATAAGAAGAAAGGAATAGAAGAAGAGAAGAAGAGAGCATGGTAAGGACCGAGAAGGGAGATAATCAAGAACAAAGATAAACCCAGAAGGGAAACAAGGCAAAAATAAAAGAAAACATTACAAATACAACAAAAGGAAAACAAAGACAAAGAAAGATAAGAAAATAAAGAATGAGAGAGAAAAAGATAATCTAGAAGAATGGAAGAGAGAAAAAAAAGAAAAGAAAGAGGAGAAATGTATCAAACAGATAAATAAGATTTAAAAAATAAAACCATACAAAAAAAATCAAAACACAAAAGAGAAGAAAAGAAAAAAAAGGAAATATGTCACAAGACTAGAAATAAAAATCGCACGGGAGGAAGAGGAGGAAGAGAAAAAAAATAAAATAAAAAGTAATAATAATGAATGAACAGATTCCCGCTGCAACATGCAAAGTCTTGCTCCCTCTTCTCTTTCTAATTTTCGTTTTCTAACATTTTTTTTTTACTTTTTTTTTAGATCTTTTTGAGAGAGAGAGAGAGAGAGAGAGAGAGAGAGAGAGAGAGAGAGAGAGGGAGGGAGGGAGAGAAGCAGAGAGAGGGAGAGAGAGCAAAAGAGCGAGAACGAGAGAGAGAGTGCGAGAGAGAGAGAGGGGGGGGGAGAGGGAGAGGGAGAGAGAGAGAGAGAGAGAGAGAGAGAGAGAGAGAGAGAGAGAGAGAGAGAGAGAACGAGAGAGCGAGAGCGAGAGAGCGAGAGCGAGAGAGCGAGAGCGAGAGAGCGAGAGAGCGAGAGCGAGAGAGCGAGAGCGAGAGAGCGAGAGCGAGAGAGCGAGAGCGAGAGAGCGAGAGCGAGAGAGCGAGAGCGAGAGAGCGAGAGCGAGAGAGCGAGAGCGAGAGAGCGAGAGCGAGAGAGCGAGAGCGAGAGAGCGAGAGCGAGAGAGCGAGAGCGAGAGAGAGAGCTAGAGAGAGGGATTATCTACGAGAGCAATTTCCGCATTCACTATATATCAGCTTTGCATTAAAAGGTCTCAAGCGGATTAAGTTCAAATCACTGCCGGGTTTGTGCTCGTTGAAAAATAAATAAATAGATAAATAAATAAAT